CCGCTTCCGCTGCTGCTACTGCTATTGCTACTGCTACTGCTACTGCTACTGCTACTGCTGCGGCTGCTGCTGCTGCTGCTGTTGTGGCGGCTGCTATTACTCTACAGCGACGAGGACGACGACAGTTACTACTACGGATCTGTGAGCTTCTCAAGATCTTGTATGGGCTTGTGTGCAGCGGCAAGCGAGCGTGAGGCCATTCTGTGCAGCAGTACTGGGACAATGGTGCTGATAGTGGTGAATCCCCAAGGTTGGATGCCTCTCGCAAAGCTGTCTCAGCTATCATGGCATTCTATCCACATACCACTGCGAAAGTAAACAATGTGTCAAAACAGGAACCTTTACCTTGGGCCATCCCAAAGAGAGGCCCGAAACCCTGAAGAGCCCGCAGCCCCGAAGGACCGGGAGATCGCCCGGGCACGCTTTGAGGCGCAGAGCTCGAGCCGGCGCCTGCGTCAAACGGAGGCCGACATGCAGGCCGGTGCCTTCTATTCTAAGCTGGGGGGGGCTGGTGTGCTTTCTTTAATCTGAATTTGTTGGTTTGAAGCTTCAGAGCGCTTTAGGGTTTAAGCTTTCAGGTTCTGTGAGGAGACTTGCTTCCAGTAGCGGAAGCTGGGGCTTGCTTTCAGGTCTCCGTTTTCAACCTTGTGCTTGTAACTTTTCAGGCTTCAAGATTCTTCACTGTTAGGGCTTAATGGTTCAGTTTTTGCCTATGTCCGGTGATGGAGGGGCCATGGATTGATCGCCTTTTGGGTCCGTTGTGCTAGTGGACCCTGCGCCGATGAACTCTGTAGCTCAAGTTTGCGAGAAGCTCCAATCGCTAAATTCTCAGGCTCAGGAAAACAGTAACGCTCAAAACAGTGGGCTTTGAATGCGGCTCCTTAGGAGCCGCCTTTGAGTACCTTCCGACATCTGAACTCTGCAATCCCCAAGATTTTCAGACTCCACAGGTTGTCCGGGAGGATCTGCGAATTGAGGCGCAGCGACCCTCGGCCGAACAAAAACTGTGGCTGCCTTCCGCGGCTTTCGGATAAACGAACGGTGTCCCGAGTGAGGGTGTTCGCGCTCGAAGGTTCGATTGTTGGAAAGTTCGCAGCAAAATCGAAACTGTCCAACTTTGGAAGGTTCGACCTCGACCTGCTTTGAACTCGACCTGCGAGAAGACTTTCGCTGTGACTCGAGTTCGATCGACACTGAACGTTTGAGAGTTTGGTGATCTTGCGAGTTAGAGAGCTTGAGTTTTGAACGTTTTGGAATTCACACGTTTTAAAAGTTGAAAGTTCGACAGCTTGCAGTTTGAAGCCTCTGAGCTTGAAAGTTTGAGAGCAAAATTGAAAGCTTGAAAGGCCCTTTGCATCAGCTGTGTTTGGGCATGTTGCTCGCCCCACTGGCTCCGCTTGCACTAGGGAAAACTTCCTGGAGAGAGCGGGAGTTGGATTTTAGAGAAATGAAGCCATGAAGCCTGTAAAGGTTTCTTGGGGGCAAAGGGTCGGAATTTGGGACTCTGCCTTTCACGGTTTGGGACATTGGAACTTGGACAAAGTTTGGGCATTCGGTCGAGGTGTTGGACCCCATAGCCGCAGCCCAATCGAAGCCGCCGGTGCCTGTGATTTGGCTGTATTTGGCCCAATTGCTGCATTGAGTTTCCCCGCAAGCGAAAGCTGCAAACGGAGACTCCATTTGCTGGGGCGGAAAGACTTCAGGGAGAGGCTTAGGGCTTTCAATCTCACTTTCGGGGCAAAGAGTCCGGGTCGGATGCAGCCGCATGCATGCATTAATGCAAGAGAAAGAACTGTGCTGACCAGAAATCTGGTATGAGCCTGTATGGACTCGCACAATGAAATGATTGAACCAGCAACAAAAAGCTGTCCCACCCTTTACAAAACCAAACGTACAGCGACTTTCTTTAGAGAGGCCAGCTGCAGGCGAGGTTGCATTATCTCCAAAAGGAGAAGTTGTCCACCGTCCGCTAATCTACCACAGCATCACTTCACACATAAAGAGGCAGAAGGACCGGGTCTACCAAGCGCAGCAGAACCCGTTAAAACCGGCTACCAAACATCACCGTCCTGATCCTATTCCTCCAAAGGCATGAGGAGGCAAACTGCAGGACCAAACCCCAGATGGTCACTTTAAGCAAACCATGCAAGTTGCGACATACATGCCAGGTACAGTGACTGCATATGTACAAACATGCATGCGGAGCAATCATTCACATAAGCTGCAAAGTCCTAAGGGTGCAGTAACAGTACAAACAACTCAGCGGGCAATCAGCTGAGCAGTATTCCCCACTGGTACTTTTTGCTGGCTTGCCGGCCTCCTTCTTTGGGAACGGGAAAAGACCTTAAGGTCCTGAACCTTCTGCTAATTGGCCTTGCGGGCGTCGTAGTAAGACGTGATGACCTCGGTCACTGTGGAGTTTTTTCGGCGCCGCCGTTCGGGTCTTTAACTCATTGGTCTCACCCCCGGAGTGGAAGCGAGCCACCCAAGTGCCAAGCGCTCGCTTTGGAGGAACCACACCTTGGAGTCATCGGAGGCTCCAGGTGGACCCACCCAGGTCCTGTACCACACGCTCGTCGCACGGCGCACGACGCCATGGTTTCGGGAATTCAATTTGATGTTCCTTCCCAAGCTTCCAACTGCAAACTCGAGGCTGCTTTCAAAATTGAAACGGTCAG